TTTTTTTTTATATTTGGGTTTTACAAAAATCCGAGCATACGTCTGGACAGTAAATAAACAAAATAATGTATTATTCGTGAAAATAGTTTTTCATAAAAATTGACTCCGAACCTTTTGGAGAATTCTTCATATCGGCAAGTGATATACATAAAACCACTTAACGAAATACACACATATAGAAAACACGACATCTTGCATCAACATACTTTCGCATTTTTCTCGCGAAGGGTTCCGCTATTAGACGCGCGCAAGTTTTATGACGAAATAATGTGAAACGCTTACATAAACCTGTAAAATCAGCCTATATGTAAATGGAAGCGTTTATAAAGAGCGACGTGCGCCGCGCCGGAATAATTTACGCGCACTCCCGCGGACTTACGAGACGCTTAAAGTGTCAGGCAATGCTCGGGACGCGAACATCCCTCCTTTACCTTTCCACCCCGGAATCTTAATTCCGGTAAAACGTCTCCGTATCGGCGATCGTAAAACCGGCGGCGTTTCCATCATAGAGACGGGCAGAGGACGGAAACAAGATGTGGTACATCGAAACTTCACATAACGTAGTCATACGATTGCTCCGCCAAAAGTCGAGGGTGCCGCGAATTTATTCCGCTCGCTGAACTTTCAGGTAATCAAACTTAATTGACTCTCACCGTCGAGCGGTATCCTTTCGCGTGGTCGATAAAGTTCGACGGAAAAATGAGTGCTGAACTCTCTCCCGATTTTGTTACTTCGCCCTCTTATTAATTTCGGTGCAAGAGCTATTTACGTTTTTGAAATTTCAATTCACGCACCTGATGATTGAGTTTGCGCTAATAACAAGAAGATTTTAACGAGCTGTAAGCTCTTTAAAGAGAAGAAAACGTACATTACTCGAAAGAAATTGTAATTTGAAGCACAAACATTAAAAGAATTTTAGTTTTAAATCTTTGCACAAACATTTGTTTTTTGAAAAACGTTTTAACAAGAGATAACAGCTGTCATACTTTTGCTAAACAAATTTTTATTAACTGAAAATTATATTTCCAGTTATATTTGGATTTATCGAGTTCATTTTGTTTCGCTAATTCGCTAATGATCTTATGGCTTGATGAATCCGGTATGTTCTTGAGTAAAAAACAGCGCGATTACAAGTTTAAGGTGGTCGGCTAACTCGGCGTCGTCATCGTTGTCAATAGCGACGACGGCGGCGGCGGCGGCGGCAGCGGCGGCGGCGGCGGCGATGCCGGCGAGCTCTACTCCTCGTAAAATTATCCGCAATAAAATCGTGATTTACACCCGTGTTCTTGGAAAGCGGGCCACTCAAAGTCTCCATGCTGCGCTCTTCGTCCTCCTCGTCCTCCAACTTGTCTTGTAGTTCGCGGGGACGTGATCGAAGAGAGGGAGACGGCGAGAACGATGCCGCCGTCACCGCCTTTCGGCGCACTTTGACCTTTTTTGTGGATTATATTATCCTCGTGTGTTCAATGAAAGATATCGCGAAAACGAATGTACTGTGATGATATAATTCATTAATCTAGTCTATGAAAAAGTATTTTATACTTTGTAATATATTTTTTTGTTTTGAATTGTTTTCAGCTTGATTTAATGTTAATCAGAGAGTTGTGCAATTCTTTAACTTCCGATATTATTATAATTCTTAAGTTAATAAAATTGACTATAAATAATACATTTAAATAAAGTAACGAGTAAAACAATAAAGGGATCAAAACAAATTGCTTAAAAGAAATACTATATTTAAAGCTGTAATGACGATAAACCTTGATCTGTCAAAATCAAAATTTTTAATGTGACGTTATATCTAGTTTGGAAATATCGCGGAAAATTTCTATTAATTGCATCTTATAGCGGGATCTTTCTTTTAATTTGAATGCTGTGCGATTATTTTTGACTGAATTATCAAGCATTAAAAGAAAAATTGTCATTTTAACTTTGATCGCTTATTACTCGTGAAGAAATCATCGCACAGCGCTCTGCAAAACATTGTTGGAAAACTGAAAGTTAGCTCTTTCGAATACTGTTATTGTTTTTCTTTTAGCCTCAATTTTTCTAACAAAAAATCGAAATAAGCTGAAAGAAATGTTCAAATACCATATGTGTCATTTCATTTATAAATTCCGTCATATATTCTTTATTATTTATAACAATTTAAAATTCGCTTCCTTAATCAGATTTACGGTTAATTTGTCAAAGCCCTTTCAGCCACCCTCTATCTCAAAGATTCTCGCCCGTAAAGTTAATTACACCGTGACGCCGTTATTAATATCGGAATCTGTGTCGACAATTTTGAAAAACGGCCGATAGACTTTAATAACATTTTATTAATACAACTTTTATCGGCGCTGCGCGTCGCGGGATCGTGTTAAAGTTACGGCTCCGAAACGCGGATAGTGAACGCAATGGGGTGGGGGCGTTTTATTCGCGCACGTGGGACACTTTTACAGAATTTGGAAAGCAAGGAAGATAGAAATTTCGGGGCAGGATATCCCGGCAGAAGCGTAACGGTCCCCTTTTCCCCTTCGCCCCTAGCGAGCTCGCAATAGCGGCGCGCGTAAACGCTCGAGGGTCGCGTATGACGTAAACGCAAAGTAGAACGCAGGACTGCCGTAAGTCGTAAAAAGAATCCTATAAAACGGCACCCCCGCTCGCGGCAATTTCGTATATTTACGTCAATCTTCCCCGTGTTATGAAGTAAAATACATCAACGCGTAATATGTGTACACCGTGCGATTGCCATAACTTTGCGGGAAAGCCAGTCTCCTATGAGTAATTATCTATTAGCTGACACATACATATACACACGTATACACGTATATAAATGGTTTGATATATGTATGGGATCAAAGGCTAAATACCTACGTGATGCGAATATGCGCGATAAATAACCATCGATTTAAAAAAGAGAATTATCGTTATTTTAAAAGCGAGACAATTAAAATAGTTTGTGTGTGAATTTCTTCAATTCAATCGGACTATTTTATTTAATTTATTATACCTTGAATGATTTTACATATACATCTATGCCTTATTGGTTTAATACAGCTTTACTGACGTAATAAATATATTTTTTAATTGACAACGTCAAATATCGAAAAAGTTCTTTTAATTTTCTAAGTTTCCATAATTGATTTTTTATAAATTTACTAATTAAACATTGTAGAAGAAATTAAATTCAATTAAAGTTAGTGACAAATTAATTTAAAGTTTAATATTGTATATTTATTCCGCTCGGCTATATTTATTTCTCTTTTACTCTTTCTCTGAAATTTATCTTCCTTTAAAATTGAGCAGCATAGAAATTTGGGAATTACATTCAAAATGGGATATAGCATGCATGATCGAGATAAAGTTCGCATATCTTGAAATTAAGACGATTGATATTGCGTATTAATGAAATATCTATTTATCTTCGCGAATTAGTTCAGCATACACAAGCAGATATTCTTTGCCTTTTATTGAATCACAGCATTGAAATATTTTTATTAAGAATTGACCCATTGATAACATATGCGATTGCATAATCGAGGTTTAATTGGACGCGAGCTGAAGACGTTAGAAGAAATATTAAAAAAGTTTCTTTGTGCTTGCAATTTACTTTTTGTAAATCAATTAATTAAAAGTTTTATAACAAATTAAAATCATATAAAGTTTGCATGAAATTTCATACTGCAAGTTTATTTTACCTAATTGCATTTCGTTTTTTTTTGTCTTCTTTCTTCTTTAAAACACCAAGTTGGTTTATTTAAAATATAAAAGAACGATTATATATATATATAAAAATAATTTAATGCATGATTTAAAACAACAAGTGAGATACAAAATATTTATATTTTCGTGTATTAAGCACCGAATAATCTCATTTCTTTTAACGACGACCTTTTAAAGACTTTATCCTAATATGTACATGGCAGCATGTTTTTATATGAACGAAATATTCCATCTGCTAATCGATTTCGCTCCAAATTGGCGACGAGTGAGTCAACGTGATCGAGTATTTATCGGCCGACTTAATTACACAGGACGGTCGCGATAAAGAATCGCCAACGAAGAACGCGATAAATAAATTATGAGCACAACAGATAAATTATGAATCATGCTCGGTGACGTGGACCATCGTTAATGTATTATAATGTATTATAATAAGAAAAGGAAGTGTATTATGGGGGACGAATATTCAAGCTTTCCTTAACGGCCATGGTTTTATGTTGCAGCGAGCTTTGGCATACGCGGTGAGAGAAGCTGGAAAATTCAATACCGCGGAAGTTTATGTGTATCTACCAGCACTGCTCTCATACACGGCTTGAGAATATTAAAAACGAGAGCTTTTTATTAAGGCGCTTTTATGACCGGAAGCGCGCACCTTTTTGCCACTTATGTGCCACCGGCAGAAGGGTAAGCACTCGGTTTGAAATTCTAAACAGAAAAGAAGGAACAAGTGCAAAAGCATCACATATCGGTAAAAGAAAAAAAATGCAGAATTTATAAAAATTTGTTATATCAAAAAAGAAAAATCATGTTTTAACAACATATTGTTTTATGTGCAATAAGGTATTTATTTAGAAGATACATTCATCAAATTTTGCAAAAACCGCCAAAATATTTTTTTATCATAATTTTAATGAATATAAATATTTTTTAGAGTCAAATATTTTGTTCCTTGTATCGGAACTTTTTATTACCAGCAGTTAGTATTGCCGATAGTTAGTAAAATAAAAAAAGATACATTGCTGTAAAGTTTTTTTTTAAACTAATTTAATTATTCAACTGAATAAAATAAAGTAATTTTATAAAAAATAATTATATCAAAATATTGTTATAAAACTTTTGTTTACCAACGGTAGTGAATATTTCTATGATATATTTATATTCCCAACAATCTTGATATCACTAAAATTATTGTAAGGATAAAAATACACTACGACCTCAAATTTCTCTTTATCTTGCGAAAAATATCAGCGACAGAGAAGAAAACGGTAGAAAACACACACACAAGTCGTCGATCATTGAAATATACCAAAAATTTATTTACATAAAAACATGAATATAATACCTATAATATTTCAACTGCTGCGCATTTCTTTATTCGCTCGGTACATGTCATACCTAAACAACTGGCGTCGAGTCATGAAATAATGGTATTGTCACAATTTTAAACACACCTGCACACAAGAGTGCATTCCGAAACAACCTGTAATGATTTAAAGTCTAAACTGTTTAAGCTCTACATCGAATCGACTTGATAGCGATGCAAACGCAGCGTCCGAGGTGTCTCGTCCCTCGCGATAACTAATCGAAGCGATCTCGAGCCAAAAAACGATAAAATTGTGAATCAAACGAAACGCGGTGGAGCCCCCATTCGCAAGATTAAATCCGAAGATTTAACGCTCGTCCCCCTCACTTTATTTCCCTCTCGCCTGTAAATAATGTAAAATGCGTTTATATCATTGCCCCACGGCCGCGCAACATTATCGACAACAATAGTACCATTCGTTACAATATTTACAGAACTATACGTACAACTTAGAGTATGTAATCGAAAAAGGTACGATCAGGGTCGACTCAATTGTTCGTATTCATACTTAGATAAATGTTCTTAAAAGAAAAAATATATATATATATTATATAATGTATTCGTTTAAATATTTTTCTCATTTTCTAAACTTGCTTATAAAAGTTATTCTAAATTAATGAGAATATATTTCACAATAAACTATTTTGTTCCGCTTGTTTTTAACTTCACGACAACGGCTCGGTTTTCTAAGTCGACCCCAAACTCAATAATTAAGATATTATCTCATTCTTGTTAGTATCATTCTTGTTAATCATTGCTGTAATTTCTCGACTTCATTCGTTACAAATTTATAATATCGGCTTATTCTCTTAGCCAAGTGCACTAATCTCGAAGCTCTAATCGAACATAAAGTTTAATATTTACTCGAAATGAACGATCGATTTCGTTTCGAAAATTAAGCGACGGGCAGCACGCGTACATCGAATACTAAGCTACCTTACTGAGAATGCGTCGAGTGTTTAGCTCGACAAAAGTTCCTTAAGAAGTACAGAGTACAAAAGAAGTTTTTCTCTCAGCACGCCAGCATTCCCATGAGTCCTGTACCAGTTCTCGTTTACTTGGAAATCAAATCACTGACGTGTAATATGCTGCAGGAACTTGATTGAACGCGAAAAACAAATTTCAATTTTATTTAAACACATGAAAATGGAAAATAGAATTAGAAAAATACAAAGATCTTGATCAAGAAATATTTCTTCTAATTCTACAAATTGTACGATAACAATAAAACTAGATAAGAGGAATCAAAATTATACATTAGAATAATTAAAAAATAAAGTTTTACTTTACGCTGATCGAAATCTTTTCAATAAATTACTTTGAAAAGAAAGATTTCTCGTATTCCAAGCACAGGAGCACTGATACTGTTGTTAATGATGGAGAAAAATATTTAGAAATTCGTATGAAAAGTCAGCCAGTAATCAGGCTTAGTCTCTGTAAAGTCGATATATTAGTCTCAAAAATGCATTTATATTATTGGTTCAGTTTGATTAAACCGCGCGTAAGGCGGAAATATAATTAAATCGACATCGACGGTTCCACTTTAAGTTAGTTTTTAGCTATTATTATTAAGTAATTCGATTGTGTTATAGTACGCAGATTCGTGCTCGCTTTTGGCGCACGCTCGAGAGAACACGTCGGTGCGATCGTGCGAATCTCCTTGAAAATCGGGAAAATTTTCGCGCACAGGCACGGCGTGAAAATGGTAAAATTCTTTATAAAACTGGAAAATCTCTACGCACAGACACACGCGGCACATTTTTTTTTTTTTTTTAATTGCAAAAATTCTCGCGCGCAGGCACGGCGTGATTTCTTTTCAGTAAAATTGAAGTCGTTAGTGAGAATCAAAAGCGATCTGTCGGTCAAAATTTTCAACAAGTCGTAGATCGACGAGTCATTTTTACTTCGCGAAGAATGGCAGCTTTCAAAAAAATAGAAAATTTTCGAAAGATTATCGTGCACATAAGATTCGTAGAAAATTGAAGATCTATCAAAGAATTAGAAACGGCTTGTCAGCTCGAGAGCCGACTGGTCGACAAACTACTCGACGGCAGTTTCTTATCCCATATATTTGCGTACAACTATGGCAAAATATTTCTGTATCAAAATTGGATCTTACAAAATACTTTCTACGGATGATGTATCGCACAAACGGGCTAACTCGAGCGGTCGCCGATGTTTTACATATAAAAATCCGACGATGCAGACGATGCTCCGTAAGTCCCAAAGAGTCGTTAAACTTTCACATGTAAAGTCATGTAAACGCGCATACAAATCGAGATATAAAACTACAGCTCAGCTACGTGACCTCGAGAAGGCTCGGCTTAGTCGTTGCTGAAGATTCCATTCGGTAATCACAAACGGGAAGCTATGCGTCGCTCTTTGTCGTTGGCCAGCGCGATGATCATCGCATATTTCGCTTCTCTCCAGTCGGCGACGTGTAAACAACTGCACGCACCTGAACCGCGTCTCTTCGTCTAATTCTAGAAATCGGATACTTGAAATAAAAGAAATAGTGTCAATCTGCCAAGACAAAACGGGTCAAGCAAATACGAATGATTAACACGTTCACGCGGCGATACGTAGCGTTCTTCTTGACAGTTTTATTTCGAGTATCCATATTTGTTATCTACCTTGCCTTTAATCAATTCATCGAAGACTCGCAAAAATTCCTTTCATTCGTCTGACTCCCCCAGACTGATGTCGTCAGTTCGGCTTCGCTATCGAACGAAAAAGAAACGTAAATGGCATAAACGAGATCTCGCGTCCTCGTGACGACGCGTTACGCGCAGTTCGCTCGGTTGTCGAGCGAGAAGTCATCGTCGTGATCATTCAATCGGTTATAATCGATGAACGCACGAACGAATCTTCTATATTATCCCATTATCGTATTCCACATAATGAGGCGTGTTCGTATTGTATGATACAACTACACATATAGCATATCGATATACCGATATAAACGCGCGCGCGTATATCCTCAGTTTATATACATATATACCTATGCACAAGGATGTGATTGCAAAAGACGCTATAATTCGCGCGAGTGTCAAGTTTACTTCGAGCTCCCTTGTCGTTCAAGTACTTTCGCTGCGAAAAGTCAGAATTTATTTCCAATTCGAGCTCGAAAATCAATTTCACTTTGCTTTTCTTCTCGGCGTTTCTTTGAACGCACCACATTTTGCACGTAGTCTTTAGGAATAAAATCCGAATCGTTTTATCAATCTTTTATTTCACCAAACAGTAACCAAACTTGAGATGATATATATATATATATATTATATATATATATATATATATATTATATATCGGCATCTTATGTAAAAATAATTTATCCAATTTTGACATTGTTTCAAGAATATTCTGTTCTTCAAAAAGGAAATAATTCAAAAGTATCGCCATAATATTTTACAACATGTATTCTAACAATTTTCTTGAAAAAAGTGCATATTGCAAAATATTATTTGTGCGATATTTTTGAATTAAATTACTTTTTCAAGAACAGAATATTCTTGAAGCAACACAAGTCAAAGTTGAATAAATTTTTTTACATTAAATGCAACACTCAAATCTATTCGGAGAGTAATTTTGGACCGAAAATCGAACGATTCAAATTTGAAAACACATCATTCGCGTGTATATAGATTACCATTTTTTTTTCAATTTTATATTATTTATCACATCCAAGTATACATACTTGAGAAAATCGCAGACAGGGCAGTTAGCGCGGTTATGAAATATTACGTACAAATAGAACTTTCGCTTCTGAGTAAAATTTGTAAATTCGTTTGTTATACTCCGAAAATTGGCATTGTGCGTGTATCGCATTGCTTCTTTCGTTTCCTTGTTCCTCGTATAATCCCTTAAATCACGAGAGTATGATGCTTAAAATTTATATCACATCCTTCGTATATGCGGCAGTGTACCTTATGTGTTGATCAACCAAAACGCCATCGAATCTCTGTCGCGGATTCGATTCAATTCAATTCGTTGTTTGGCTTCCGGTTGTGCTGTATAGGTTAAGAAGAACTTCCGGTAGGGACGGTTCATCAATATTCATTCTCTTTTCCTCGTAATTTGTTTCCAACTTCTTGTAATCTCATGGCTGATAATTTGAATATTCTTTGATTGACGTCCGTAACTCGCCAATTAATTTTTTTCCGATGGAAATAAGAAAAGCCATTCAAAATAAACTGATGTATCTCTTCAGAATTTTTGTACGCCTATCCGAATGTTTTAACGTTTATCTGAACGACTTCTCATTTTTGACTTACAAGGTCGTATCAATCAGCGCAGAGCCCAGCAACGAAGTATGAAACGAAACTGTACAATCTTACTTTTACACCAGAAAAGTGTGTCTCATTTTGCCGCTGATAATTCTCCGAATAGAGCGATGGACGTATCCGGAGTAGCAACCAAGTATCTATCATCTATCTCTCAGTCCTTCCACCAACCGCAGAGACAGCAGTACCATCGCCTCTCGGGATGAGGCTGGATTATCTGCTATTGTCAGTGCATCGCCCGGGTAGTGGTGAGATGCGTGGTTTCGGCCCGCTTGGGCGGCGGTGGCGGCGGTCGCCTCTTGCCGGCGATCGCGTTCACGATGTTCATGCTGCGATTTTCGTCGGCAAATCTCACCGTCGGCTGTCGCGCCGGGCTCGACGCGTACTCGACCGGTGCGTGCGGATCTGTCGCGTACACGTTCTCGTAGAGGTTGTCCGCGCCGTAGTGCTCCTGCACCCAGTTCGACACGTTCGTCTCCCTGTAATCGGCTATGGCCGGCGGCGGGTCTCGGAAGCCGAGCACTTCGTGCGGCGTTGTCGTCGAGTCTAGCTTGCACTTCTGCGCGACCTGCCATTTTTTCCTCATCACTCTCTGGAGATCCTTTAGGAAATCGCCTGGCGGCGCCTGATCGGACGCCGCCAACTTCTTCGGTGACGTCAGCCTGGTGCTGTCGGATCTCCTGGGCGGCGTCGGCTTCCGTTGCGGCAAGGCGGGACTGCCGGGTTCCTGCTGCGGCGGCAGATTGAACGAGATCTTCTTGCCGGTTCCAGTCTTCGATTTGGGCGAAGTCGGCGGTTCCTGAATAGTCACCCGACGTTGCGGCTGCGGACTGGAGGCGGCCTTCAGCTCGGCTAGATAAGGTGGTGCCGCGTAATGACCGCTTCCTTGTTTCATGGCGCTGCGTCGGACAGTGTCCATGTTGGGATTCGGCCTGATTGGCTGAATCGTGTGATGAGCCGCGTACAGCGGTTCGATCTTGGAATTCTGTCTACAAGGCAGACTCTGAGTGTTGATCTGCTGTTGCTGTTGCTGTTGCTGTTGTTGTTGTTGTTGCTGCTGCTGCTGCTGCTGCTGCGAGCCGTAAGCCGGTGGCGGCACGAAGGGTGGCGGCGATGTGAAATTAGGCGAGCTCGGAGTGTAAGTCGGCGTGCTCGCCGTCGATCCTGAATAGGAACCATGCGGGGAGTTGTTATTCGCGCTATTCGGAGACGCGTTCGGATTGTAATTTTGACTGTTCTGGACCGAGTTGCTGTTTAGCGCGATACTGTTCGCATTCGTGTACATTTGACCGGACTGTATTCTGGGAGTGTGCGTGGGCGTGTTCTCGGGGGTTACAGAGTTCGTGGGGGTGGACTGCTTGGGTCGGGCGCGACGTATCGTTCCGGTCTCGCCGACCAGCGGGCTGGGCGGCGGCGGCAGAGACGCGAGGCTCAACAAGGAGCCCGTAAGCTCGGGCGTGTTGCAGACCGGTAGCTCGCCAGGCGCTGGCGGCGGCGGAAGCGAGTCCAGCGAGAGATTCGACCGGAACATTTCAGGGGGCGGCGGTGGAAGCGGTTCGCCGTCAGACTCGATCTCTTCGGCGACTCTCGACGGCGACGGTGGCGGTGGAAGTGAAGTGATCGAATCCATCTGCGAGATGTTTACACGCACAACTTATTAGATTTATTCAAACAACTAATCCTACCTTGAATCTTTTCATGTCGTTAAATTTGTTTTATCAATATAAATTATGTGTAAGAGAGATGTATGTACCATGCATGGTTGTATCGGGCTCGTCGGCGTCTTCGATTCTTGACTTTCCGACCTGTTGTATCCCATCGGACTCGCTCGTTCTTTCACCGGCGTGCCGGGCGGAACCGGGCTGACGGGCGTCGCGTTTCCGGATCTGTGGTATCTCTTCAGAGTCCCGGATCCGTCCGAATCGGTGCCGCTACGCCGGCGACTGTGTCTTCGGGTCAGCGTGCCGGATCCCGAACTCGTCGGACTCGGACAGGAGTCGGGCTCATCTCGGACGGTTTCGCCGACCTCCTTCAACTGCCTCGTAATCGACGTAAGAGGCAACTTCGGATTCATAGATGGTTTCCGTTTGATCGTGCCGGTGGGAAATTCACCGCATTCGAAGGCGACCTATCCATAATAATTAATATATTAATAAGAAATAAATAATGCATGTAATCATTCAGATGCAGTGGCAGCGTGTAATCACAAAAATGATTATTTCTATAAATTCCTATAAAAATTACATCCATTTAGCGACTTCTAATCGTTACCTCGCAACTGCTTGGCGCTCCGTCGGACAAGCATCCGCTGGAACTGGAGCTGCTCGCTCTGCTCAGTCTGCCGTCGTTGTTGTAGCTCTGCCGCTGTTCCGGATTGTAGCTCTGCCTTTGACCGTCGTATTGCCTCGTTGTGGCGACCACCGTTTCGTGTCTCACGTTCTCCGCGAACTGCCTCGCATTTTCATTCGTCGTGTTATACTGAGTTTGATTCGGCGGCGCGGCGATAGAGCTGACCGAGCACGATCTGGCGTACGCTAGTAAATCCAGATCCTCCTGCGCCAGCTCGTCCACGAGCGCTCGATAATTCTCCATCAGCTGTCTGCCGTATTTGGCTACGCGAATCCCGACCATCCATCGTTCCAAGGACGCGTTGTCCTCCGCGCACAGGAACTTGATGTACTTGGTACACTTGGGCTGCTGCAGCTGCGGGTGTTTCACGGCGAAGCAGAAATCGGTGGGTGCCTTGTACTTTTTTCGCCAGCCGACGCCGTAGTAAACCTGATTTAATAGCGATCGTAGCAATATATTTCATGAATGCCCGGCAAAAGTGCCTCGTAAATCTTGAATAAAGGATTTTATAGGAAACGATTGAGGAAAAAAAATTTAATCAAGCAGCTCGAAAATATAATTAGAGAAACAAATATAATAATACTTAATAAAGTCGTAAAGATGAAATTACAATTACTAGAATTCTTTTTTTATAAAGTATCGTAAAATAAAAATAGAGGAACAGAATAAGAAAACATATGTAGAATCGGTATTGTTCTAGAATGCATTGCTAACCTGATTAACATCAAAGGTTGCCAGACAGACAAGATCTCGCGCGGTGCGTGCCTTTTCCTTCGGCCAGTAATAGAGACCAGAAGCTCGTAAAATGAAGTGATACCTCTTCCAGCCCTTCTTACTGTCTGACTTCAAGTATAGAGGACCCTCGACCTGGAAGCGGAATGGCAATCGATGTAGAAAAGGCACGTGATATATGCCAGCAAAGTCGTTACCGGGAGACGTCACTCTCGAGCTCGACTGGTGAGACGCGACAAGATCGTAAACATGTCGTTTCGCCTCTTACCTCGGGCACGCCGACGTTGCTACTCGAGAAGAACTCCTCCAGTAGGATATTTCTCGCGTGATCGTCGTATTCACCGCTGCCGCGATCGAAGGGACCGAGGAGGAATCGCTCGGGCGTGAGGAATAGCTGAGTCTTGTCCGGTCTCTCGACGAAGAGCAGCTTGTTCTTCGAATCCCTGGTCCACAGTAAAAGATTCTCCACCAACAGCTCGTGATCTTCGAAAACTCTCTCTGCGAATTTGTAGATAAGAATACGTTTTGTGAAAAATAATATTTACCATCGGCAGTAGCATTAACGTGAGAAATACAGGTTTAGTTTCAAAGTCGTGTGACTCAAAATAAACAAAACGTGTTTTGTATAATATAATAATATTTGATAAATAATCGATACATAAAAATTTTTTAAATTTTTTAAATTTCAAAATACAATTTACAAAATTAAAAAAAAAACTTTTAAGAAAAAATCAAAACAGAGAGCATATCGAGTGTTAGCAAGTATCAGTTCGAAACGGAGATGTCAGCGTTAGAAATTAATGTTGCGAGTGTAAAAATTGTCGACTGTAAAACAATTATTGCGCCAGCGGCTGAGAGAATTGGCGGTCGGCAAATAAAAGATAATACTCACCTATGAAGAGATCGGGCAAGTGCTCGACCACGGCCCACTTCGGATCCATTGGCACGTGGTTTTTGTCCGCGAGCAACCTACACACGTGCGCGACGCTCATATTCTCGTCGACCATGAGGCTCTTACCGCTGCCGTCCAACGTGAATGCTTTGATGAAGAGCTTCTGCACGCTCGCCTCGCGCATCTTCTCCAGCGCCAGGCGGATCTTCTCCGCCTTCGCTGTGTTCGCTGCATCTGCAAAGATAAGATAAATATACGATGCATCACGTCACAGGTATAATTACGGCGTGAAGTTACATTTTATTCTCTAAAAGCAAATTCATTCATGCCGTGCGGGTGTTTTGAATAAACGGAATGTCATAGCAATAAAATAAAAATTGTTATTAGCAATATTAACGGGAATATGAAAAGCATTAGATCGTTAAGTCAATGATTAAATTTGTCGATAACTTAGAATTGCCGATTGTGTTATAAAATGATAAAATAAGGACTCTTACCGGCAAGTTGGTGCGATTGTTGTTGCGGGACTGTGTGCATGGCGGTCTGAGGTGGTTTGTGTCCTGAACCGCTACTACTTGCCGAACTTTCGCTGGACAACATGGACACCGTGTCTGAGAATGCGCTATCATTGTCAGGACTATCAGTGCGTATACCTGCAACAAGAACAAAATAAAATATATAAGATAAAGGATGATGTATTTTATGTAATAAATTATTTAATTATGCTACTACGAATGCAATATGCAGAAATGCGGAAAATTTATTATATTTTAATACGCACCTCCTTCATTTTTGATGTCGGTGTTATCTCCTGCATTGATCCTTGCGCTGGTAGGTCGTCCTGGCCTTTGTGAATCCGGCGCAGGAGTAGCGGCGACGATGTCGCCGTCGCAACGTCGCTCCAGAGCGCACAATTCACCAAGGATCGCGTCCAAGTCAACATCCTGGGAATCTGACAAAAAAAAAAAAAATTATCCAGATATATCCACATTGCATTTTACAATTTAAAAATATTAATACATTGCTTGAAAGATTATAACACATTTTTTAGTATTATATTTGTACATTAATATTGCACAAAAAATATTAAATCTACATAAAATATTAATAATTTTGTGATTAAAAAATCAATATACTTTTCTAAAAATCGTAAAATGTTTTTTAAAATTGAAGATAATTTTTTAGAAATATAATTTTTCGAATTTTTAATACTTCAATAAAAATAAAAGGCTAATACATTCTTCGAAAGATCGCAAGATGTCAAATTTTTGTTTGTGTATCTGTTCAAAGCAACAGATTTGTGATGTTTGAGTGTACACTGATTACATAGGATACATCGTATATCTGTTTACGATTGATTAAAGGCTTCGCCACAATTTCCCAGCAGCGGTGAGCGCAAATTCGAATGCATCCCCGGCGTTTGTCTTTATGTACGCTCGCATCGTGTAACGTTAGAATTATCATGGATTACTATCAGCTCACGATAGCACGCACACGTGGAGCGTTGGTTGCGATAATAAGCGAAATTAACAGCTGGCAACTCGATCGAGTATCACGCACACGAGTATCCTCAGCGTCTCGCACTTGTACTGCTAGGAAAAACGGCAGGTATGATAATGACGCGCGCGCGCGCGCGAGTTTGTTGCTGTACTTTTTTCTCTTTTACATAATGCTGCAAATCTCTTTCGTTGTACCATTTAAAAATACAAATCTGTAGAAAAAACGATCTCTTTTAAAGATCTTCTTTTAATTTTGAAAGCTTTGATGTCATAGAAAGTAGGAATAACTAGTATAAATTATAATAATCGCTATGCGCTATCACTAAAAAAAATTGTAAACACTCAATAAAGATAAGGCGCAATTACAAATTACCAATTTAATATTGAAAAATAAAATAAAATTTCCTCGTAAAAGACAAAGCAGATTAGCTCCGTCTAATACGGAATGTATTTACTTTGTAAAATGTTTCGTAATCGCACGTGGATATGAATAGCAATATGAATTTGTACAATTCATGGTAGGCGTGACATTTCGCCGACTTCGCATAGAGCGAGCGAGGACACGCATGTGTGGGCATTGTCGGCAATGCTACTTATTCGTTTCACTAATACCGTAAGTGTGTTGGATCGCTACGAAAAAAGCGCAACGCGACTAATTAATAATGCGCGAATTAGTGTCAAGACTACTTTCATGAACGACGTGAAATCGAGGGCCGCACGTTGTCAATGGCCATAATAAAGCTGTCAATTCCTCAAACGCGTCCAAGGCACACCAAGATATATAAAGCGTGTTAGATTTTTCGCCTAATTTTACAACGATTTTTTTATTAATCATTCAATTTCTGATATTTGTCAATCATGTCCTAATTAATATAACAATCTTATTTAATGTGATATTAATAAGATTTATGAAATGTTTCTTAGTGAAGTAAAATATAAATCGTACCTAATTTCTTGCGCATGCAATTCAACTCTCTGGACTTAATTTTTGAGTTTTGCGTTTGGCACAATAATACCAAACAATGGCGAATCAAAGGTTCTTATTTTTTGCCTGCTGCATCTTAATGGCAATACATTGTGCGTGCGATCTGGCATGCAATTTTCTGCAACTTTCGAGAACTCCTCGGTCGACGACGTCGCAGCGAATGACGTGCAGTCCATGGAATGCGAACGATATCGCCGCGCGAATCGTCATGAGCGGTGCGACGTTACCGCGAAACCGCCGACGTCAACGTTGCAAATGTGAAAGAGAAGCCGAAGAATCTCGCGAACGTTTATCATGCAGATTCGTGCGCTCGTCATCCGTTTCGAATTTCTCACGTTGCTAATGTTCACATTATTTGCGATGAAGTTGCCGCGGGAGCTTAGAATTAATTACGGAACATAATTTCCACTAATCGCGTTATGAGTGTGATTCCCGGTTAGCGTCATGTATAAAAAAAGAACTTTTCATAACTTAGAATTTAAATTACAAGTGTTAAAAATGAAATTCAATTGCGATCTAAATTATGATGAAAACACGAAAGAATAACGCGCGCGTATTTTTCAACGATGAAAATAATTTTACATTCGCGATTTGTAAATTAAAGTGACAAACGAACGATTTTACAATCGCGTGTCGCGTCGCAACGCCGATCTGTAAATATGTCACGCAGCTTTAACGGAATAATAAAATTGCAGGTGATACAGATAAACGCGGTCTTCCGCATCTGACGAAAGAGTCGATAGGCGCGAGTTCTCTCGCGTGCACTGAGAGCTGCGGCGCAGCATTTCTGCAGGAACGAGTTTACGAGACGCGGTGAATGAAAATGAAAACCGTGTGCGTGTGCACGCCGCACTTTCCACGAGGCGTAAGCAACGCGTAAGTTGCGACGAGTACACGCCGAGGATTACCGTTATGGCAACGTTACGCGAACGTATCATGATTTCGCCGTGGCCGTGGCTCGTAAACACCTCGGCTAGAATCAACCTAACCGGCCATTCGTATTCGTAAGACCACTCGTCGAACAGAAACATGAGTCACGCGAACGAGTGCTCTTACCTGTTCGACGCGTCATCGATCGCTTTCGATAATGGCTCCGATGACGGGACTGCGAGAAAAAGAAGAATGCATACAAAATGCGAGGAAAATACGTGTAAACGGATACACGCATTAACTGGGATTAGAAAATATATTTCTAAAATGCGGAGATATAACTTTCGCTTCAAGTTCGCTTCAGACTGTCGCGAGTTCCGCGACAGAGAATTTCAGAGAGAAATTTATCGACAATTTTAAGCTTTGTATTATATCCGTTTATTTTATTTCATCGAAAACGTTTGAAAAATCAAAATACATATGCAAAGTGATTATTGTTCATATGTGTATGCTTTTGAAATTTTCTGTTATTCGGGACATAAAATTGCAAATGGAATTCTATTCGAATTTTGCAGCTAATTTTGATCCACAATGGACTTTAACGATATTTAATTTCAAACAATGATAAATTACTGAACATTGTTAAATTTTTGACAAATTAGTTTCAGGAGCATATTAGTGTAAAAAAACACATTTTATTTTCCTGTTAATTTCAGGCTCGCTTACGAAGCTCGCCTTAGGGATAATTTAAGTCTTGTCTTAATTGCCAGGATTTATCGTACGAAGGGCGTCCACTAGGGATAATTAGAGACTACATTCTTAACTTGTGACTGTATCTTTGTATAGATCACGCAAGGCGGCATAGAACAAGAAGAAATATTCTTTAATTATACTCTGTAAAGAAATTTTTTTATTTTCTAAAAAAAGGCAAAGAATATTAAGTGTTTCGTTCATGAATTTTATCTTACTGCTCTCGCGAAGCATTCTGCATCTTCCGTAACGATAAGACGTGGCCCTCGGCGAGTTTGTATTGACAAGAAAAATATCTAGACGCGTATCGATCTGCTTCTGCGATATGACGAGGGTGGAGAGAATGGGAAATAAGGAATTGGGGAAAGACACAATGTCGGCTTTTACAAGCTTTGCGGTCGCGCCATTATCAGAGAAAGGGTCGTCGGAAGAAGATAAATGCTGCGTAAACACGAGAACGATCGTGCGCAACGTATCTATCAGATTTATATTCCACAGATGCAGTCTATTGACAAATGTAGAAAAAAATTGCGATAATATGATACCATGGGATCTATAGAAAACCACAGCTGGTCACATGAAAGATTCATAACAGATTTATGGGTTCAAAGTTCGGAATTATCGTTTGAACGTTGTAAGACCCGCCTGAAGGAAAACGAGTGGTTTCATGTAAAATTTACGTCTCGGTTACGTTTAAGTGCTCTCGAGTACAAACAAGCAGCTGTGAAAACGCGGGATAATATCGCGGATTGCATTATTATCGAAATTGTCGAGTAAAATGGCACGCAACGATAACGATCGTGGAGTTTCGGTCGCAAGTTTGTTTTGCTCCCGTTGTACAATAATTATCATAAAAGGCAGCTTTCTACTGGCTTTCCAAGCCGACGTAAATTGTCGTATAGACGAATGCGCAAGTGTGACTCGGCACGTCGCTAATTTATGAATTCTCGCCGCTGCGCCGTGCTAAATTGCCGTAAATTTGGTCGAGCGCATTGTCACGCGGTGTCGTCAGAAAACCGCGCTTTCCTTCGATCTGCACCAGGACTTTTGTCCCTTATCGAGCCGCGCCGCGCCGTAATGAACTTTTTACTACGCGAATGTTCAGGTGCTCGATCACACCGCGCTTAATGAAACTGATAATATGCAGTGACACGAGTCTCCGCTCTGTTGTGCTTAAAAATTTTACTATGATAATTTACCGTGTTGATTTTCTTATCAGCATTATTCTCGATAAATTAACGAATGTGAAATGAAAAATTATTAGAAATATTATCGAGAATATTAATTGCTTGTCGATCCTAAAAATATATTTTGTATTTTTGTTACTACGAGAAATATTTATTGTTGATTCTTAAAATTTTGTATTTCGCATTTTCATTATTTTAAATCGACGTGACAATTAAGTTGGGCAGAAATATACCTTTGACTGCGAGATAGCCCAATATGCTCTCGTTGCTACCGAAATGCCCAAGCATCTTCCACTCCGTCGAACCGGACGCCGATCCTCCCGAGTCGTTTTCCATGCGATCGCTGATTAGCATCGCTCGCCGATGAATCTCTCATCGGAGCGAGGAAGCATTGTCACCCGATCATCATAACAAGCGTTTTGCATAATCGCATTTTCACTTGCCGGAAACTTGCGGCCGGTTTACCGAGCGATCACTTCGCAATTAATTCAGCATGTCAAAACATGTCGATTTTCACGATTACATCGAAATTGTCGAGTGTCAATCGAGTCGGAGTGTTAAAAATATCCGCTTGCTTTATCACTTTCCCATTGTTATCAAATAATTCAACCGCACCGCAGCGAGCAAGTCAAACATGAAGTTCTGCAAGGTAAATACATTCGCACCATGTTTAATTAACACTTCATCGCGGTTAAGTAAATTGTCACTTCACGCCGCGGCGTAGAGAAAAAAGCGGAGAATTTTTTATTGAAATCTGTTATCTTTTATTGAAATCCTCCGCTGTGCGCACTAATTCCATTTTTAACAATGCGAACTTCATTTTATCTATCAAGAATTTATCTCACTGTTTAGAATCTGATAAGCGAATTGTGTACAGAGAAGGTGGCGCACAGTGATTTCACCCCCGAAGGTGCATCAGAGGGTTAATCTCGGGTCCGGGTCGGCTGTACTCGCAACGATACACTGTCGACGAAGAGATACAAGCTGCATCGAGCGCGCGATGCGCACGTCGCGTGCGGCGGCACTGGACTAAAGGCTTTAAGGTGAACATACTCGCCTCTCGCCACAAGTTTTCCGCGCGGACGCTCATCGCGCCTGCGTATGGGTGCCTTGTCTTTGTGCCGCACACACGCAAATACGGCGAGCCAAGCGTGTATGCGTGTTAAAAAGGGTTGAGAGTGCACCGGTTGACTTACGCAAACGTCTATTGACCCCTATAAATAAAGCGCATTCTCCCTTCAAAATGATAGCATTATTTCGTGTAAAAATATTTTATCGATTTTATTAGAAACAAGTTTACTGAGTTGTGGCTTTTCATTTTCCTTTGATGTTCAATTAATAGGTTTTGTAGCTGAAAAACCTTACAAGAAATTTGTAGAATTTATAAGGTTTTTAAAGCTAAGTCACTAGAAACAAAAAAGAACGTTTAAATGTGTTTCTACTGGAAAGCCAGAAAATATAAATAGGAATATAAATGGAGCGTTTAGTTCTACTAAATTACACACCACGTCGACGTAAAATTTGATTCTTTTTTCTTAAACATTTACGACCGAGGCTACAGCTTCATCTCTTTGTTAGTTTAATTATCATCCGCAGACGGAAGAATTTTGCATCACTGCAATAGCCTTTCAAGTTTATACGCTTTAATTAGCCGCTAACGGTTTAAGTATCGCACATTTATGTCGCGCGGGAGGTGCAGACACGTTTGTGCGCGTGAAAGGGTTGAACGCGCCATCGACTTGCGTAAACTTTTATGAACGCCATAAATAAAGCAATAATTAAGAATATAATTTCACATAATATTATTACATTAAAATAAATTTTTTAAATAACAGTCTCAAATTACACGCTCCCAAAATGTATCATTAATGAATAATTGCGCCGCTCAAATTGAATTTGTAATAGTTGACTTTTGATTACAGAACGCTGTTTAAATACGCCGATTGAAACGTAAATCGAGCACCGAGCCTGACGCGCAGCGATATCGCGGTACGCGAGAGTTCACGGACCAGAGAATTCGTATTGATTGAAGTGTGGGCGCCAGCGATGATTTGATAAACGCAAAGACGACGCCAGAGCAGGCGCACCAAGGCGTCCAGTCTTCACGTGTCACTGCGATGGGGGAGATATTTGTACGTCAGGAGCAACGAACGTATGTATGTGTGATACTACAAGTTAACTAATGTTACATTTATCGGCGTGTTTTTGCGAATATAATAGTAACACAATGACAAATAATAATTTCTATATCCTGAAGAAAATTATGAGAAACTAGAAGTGCATAAAATACGGACATTTCTGTTTTTTGTCGCTAGAAGAAGATAACATCCAGCAATAACTTCGCTTTACACTTCATAAATATGTAATTGCTTCAGTTCGATCATCAATAATTTCAATTTCCAGCTTTCAGCATTCGTTAACGTTGACGAAAAATTCTAATTTATATACAAAACAAATCGTGCGTCCACGAAGCGTTGAAACGACGATTAATCAAGTAGAACAAATCGAGGCGATCGGCTCGATTTTTTTACTGCAACGAGTTTTCACGGATAATTTTTTTTTACTTTTCCCGTTCGACGGACGGACGATCGCGATCGCAAACAGAGGAAGGTTCGTTCACCCTGCCGATTATGCGAATACGCAAACGCGCTCGATAGCGCAATAACCCAGATTAATCGGGCTGCATAAATCAGTCGAACCGGCGCGGCGCGTCGCATCGCCTCTTCGGTTGCGAATATTTTCGCGCTATTTTCGCAAACGCCACTCTCGCCACGATAAGCTCGTTTCTCCCGCCGCGCGTAAACGCCGGCTTAACTATATAAATCATGCTTAACCCTCTGACCTGTATGTGTGATGTAACACGATCGGCTAGTTTCATCGGCG